AGAGCTAGACCTAGTGGGAGTCCATCTGACTAGGAGCCTGAGCACCCACCTTTTTCCTGGGTCCCTTTCAAAGGAGACAGCCTCTCTCAAGCAAGAAGCATACCCAGGCCTGTCTTGGCCCCACCTACTCCCCAAATAATGGGACCAGGGGAAGAGCCACCAATGGTGACAGGTAGGAAAGGGGAATATATTTCGAGAGAGGAAAATCCAAAGGCCAGGAATCTCAAGAGACTGAATCCAAAGAGAAGATGTGAAGTGGCAACTCAGTATTTTAATCCCTTTGACCCTCTCTCCCAAAGCTTGACTCTTAGCAACATGCCTAGTAATATCCTGGGCTTAACCTATACATGTTAGCACTCTGAGGATAGGGATATCCTCATCCTAACGAATATTAAGTAGAGTCTGCTCTAGAGTAAAAATTATAGGCTAACAACTAATGTGGTGAATACCTGAGGTAGGAAAGTTGGATGATTTAGACGCATTTCTATGAAGTTGAATAATTCCCATTCTTCACATCACAGATCTTGTGTCTAACAAATTGGGACTGACAGTCTAAACTCATGATGCCCTCATTCCTAGGAAGAACATAAAAATCCTGATTCTTAAAAAAACTTTCCTTTTTATAGATTCTGAGTTCCATAAACTTTATTAAGCTGCTTTATTACAACACATTTTTGAAATATTACAACACCAAATTCCCTTGTAAAAATATTTAAGAACTATTAACATTTTATTTTTGCTGCCTTTTGAAGCATATAGGGATTCATTTAATAGTAAGAGTTATCATTTTTTTGAGCTATGAGCCAGGCATATTAGTTCATTTAACTTTACTATTTATCTATATTCACATTAATAGTATATTGGTTTGAATTAGGAAGTATTGCAAGCAACAGGAAACCCAAAGTAACGGTGTGTTAAACAAGTGAGGAATTTATTTCTCCCTCATTTAGTCAGTCCAGGGCTAGTATGGCAGTTCCATATCCAGTAGGTACCCAAAGATCCACCTATTTTGTTGCTCTGTTGGCTCCTGTGTGATCACATGTGACTTGGACCTTGTGATCCAAAATGTTGTTCAAATTCCAGCCATCTCATCTGAATTCCAGCAAGCAAGGAAACACCTGTTCTCCACTGTTAAGGACACTTAGAAGTTAAACACATCACTTCTGCTTATATCCCATTGATCAGAATTACTCATAGAGTCACACCAAGCTGCGAGGGAGGCTGTGTAGTCTTTACTCTGGACTTTCAAAGAATTAGCATCTACTCAAATATCATACGGTATAAAATTCAGCACATGTAGAAAGACACTAAGGAGAAATTTTTAAAATTTTGCTTGCAAATTTTGAAGCAAATGCACTACAAGACAAAGTAGGATTCAAGAACAGCTTAGTTTTTAGCTGAGTGCTAAAACATTAAGGAAAAAAAGAGGAGCCATTATCTAGGTAAAGTTTGACAGCTTTACATTGATTATTTAGAATGTTTAAAAATACATAAGTAGGGCCGGCCAAGTGGCTCAGTTGGTTAAGAGTGCGAGCTCTGAGCAACAGGGTTGCTGTTTCAATTCCCACATGGGCCAGTGAGCTGCACCTGCGCTGAGCTGGCAGAATGGCTCAGCTGGTGAGAGCACATGATCCTAACAACTAGGTTGCTGGTTCAACTCCTACATGGGATGGTGGGCTATGCCCATCTGCAACTGAGATTGAATACAGCCCCTTGAGCTGAGCTGCCCAGAGCTGCCAATGGGCAGCCGGATGGCTCAGTGGTTAGAGCGTGAGCTCTTAGCAACAAGGTTTGCGGTTCGACTTCTCCATGGGATGTTGGGCTATGCCCACCCACAACTAAGATTGAACACGGCACCTTGAGCTAGTGGCCACAAGCTGCCCACGGGCGGCTGGATGGTTACTGGACTTGGAGCTGAGCTAGCTGCGCCCTCCACAACTAAGACTGAAGGACAATAACTTAGCTGTTCCCCTTCCTCAATTCCCCAATAACATCTTTAAAAAAAAAATACATAAGTGATAACTGTAGTTAATGATCACATTAACATAAGTTTGACTGATACAACTCAACTTTCCATAATTATGGGGTAATTAAAATTATCCGATTAGTTAAAAATGTTTTAAATTCCTTATATCTCTGTAAGCAATACTGAACAAAATAATTAAAAACACAACCTACAGAATATATTCACTCAAAATGTAAATATACAAAAATCCAAAGTTAAATAAACATATGTAATTGTAGGACCCTCCCTAAGTCATTTCATTACTGAAGATGCTATAAGTAGAGAGAGTGACAGAAAAGACAATATGATGGGAAAAAAAAGTGCTGGCCTGGATGTCTGGAGACAAAGTTCTACAACTTAGAGTAAATTACTTAACCTCTCTGGACGTTAGATTCCAAATCCTTATGAAATAAGAAGGTTGAGCTGTGTATCTGCGGCCTACCTCTATAAGCCTTACTAATCTACACTGACTAAAGGGCAGAGCTTATATGGCATTTTCTAAGGAAATTTGTCCAGGAAAAGTAAGTCTAATGAAGCAAGATCATTTGAAACCAGGGAATCTGATTCATCTTTAAAGTAAATAAAAATTGTCAACACGAGCCTACTCCAATCTCCAAAATTGTGTGTGTGTGTGTGTGTAAGGGGAGCATAGCCCAAGTTTTCACAGTATTTGGAACAGCAATATATCTAGGTCCATAGCGATGGACTGTGACTGGCCAAGCTAATCATTGCAATCCTCTTGTTTTCTCAGCCTCCCTTGCAGCTATGGGGGGCTAAATCAATATATATGGCTATGAAACCCTCTGCTTTCCAGAAGCATCTCCAAGGATTACTTTTTAGGAGAGAATGCTTTGCTACTATTGATCTAGGCTAACTTAATTATAAATATTAGCTCGATGAATGCACTTCCTGACCAGTCAAGCCAGAATGTATTCATCTTTTAGGCATTTCCCCCACAAAACATTTACTCTCGTTTCTCTCAATAAATAATAACCTATGCATTCATTTGTGTACTTGATCATACCTTGGCTCTATAATTGGAAAGGTTTTAAAATGAAGAAAAAAAATCTGTTGACCAAGGAGGAACATGTCTGTTAAACTCCATGTCTATCATAAGCCTGGAGAGCTTGGGGATTCATATTTTTTGAGTATATGAAATAAAACAGTCATGTTAATCAACCTTTTAGACATAGCTGCATTGTCAAGTAGAAAAAAATAAATAGCTGGAGTCCAGTAATTCTCAGTTCTATGTACCCAAATCAGTTGTGGTGCTTTAAAAATAAAAGTACAGGGCCAGCCGAGTGGCTCAGTTGGTTAAGAGCTCGCTCAAGAGTTTGAGCTCTGAGCAACAGTGGTTCGAGTCCCGGCCCGAGCTGAGCAGCCACTGAGCTGCCAACAGGTAGCAGGATGGCTCAGCTAAAAATAAATAAATAAATAAAATAAAATAAAAATAAAAGTACAAGTCCCTTCCACCTATTCCATACCCCTGCTGACTTAAGGGGTCTGGCAGTGTCTCGGGCATCTGTAAGTTTTAAAGCCCTACAGGTGACTGTTACAGGCAGTCGAGGCTGAAATACTGTGCTTTATTAAGTCACAGAAGCTGTGACCCTTCAAGATGCTTAGGTGAATAAGGTGGTATCTGTAACAGGTATCAGGGGTTGTGGTCTTGGTTCTGGAACTCAGCAGCTAGATGACTTTGGGCAGATCACTTACCAATACTCTTTGAGCCTTAACATGTTATTAGTAACATTTGCTGTGGCTGTAAACATCACGTTTATAAAAACCACATGCAAAATTATAAGCGGTTTCAAAACTTTTAACATAGTATTTAAAGCTGTTTTTCTCTTCCTAGAGTATCCTTTCTCTTCATCGCAAAAATCTACTGTTTCTTTGAGTACTAAATTTATGACTCTGAGGACTTGCCTGTCCCAACCACACAGGACTGTTATCTCATCTGTGTTTCTGCAGCACTTTCTACATTACCGCTCCATACTGACCCTCGCTGGTATAGTGTAAGATCCTACAGACTCAGGAAAGCCTTATTCTTTTCAGTATCCTGTGCCCAGCAATGTTAGCTGAGGTAAGCCAAAATGGCTATCACCTTATCGTTGAAGACAGTAATTGCCCTAATAGATCCCAGTCACTTATTTCTTCTTTTTCAAAAGCTGAATCTTTTTTCTTCTGTGTACTTTACTTGTGGAACTCCAACATGAAAAAACGGATGAGGGGAGAGCTGCTGAGATCTGCTCTAGTAATTAATTACAGCACTAGTGATAATTTATTCGTGCCTATATGTGGTAGGCACCTGGCTACCCACCTAGAGAGACATTATTTAATTCTCTCAACCATCTTATAAAATATATACTATTATTATTCCTGTTCTACAGCTAGATAACTGAGGTTCAGGGGACTTGTGTAATTTGCTCAAGCAGGTCACAGTCCAGAAAGTGGAGCCCAGATTCGAATATATCTCACTCCAGAGCCTTAAATCTTAACCACTGTACGCACCTTCTTCATCTTGAGATATTCTGAAGAGTCCGTTCCCTGGTGTGGATCAGGGACACGCAACTAGAGTTCATCGGTCCGCTCATTTGACAGCGAATATACTACAGCTGTAACTGTAGCTGATCAGGCTGGAGGGTGGAGGCATCGTCCCAAGAACCATTTCCTCTTGACGACTCGGACACCAAGGAGTGCCCCAAACGTAACTAAACTGCACGCGAGCAGTCCGCAGCCAGGCCCTGCCCATCGCCAAGAGGTCACTCGGATCCGGCCAGAAAACGCCCGGTAACCTCCGGGAGCCGGAGGCGCGGGTCCGCAGTTCGCGCGCGGCCTTTTGTTCTGGAAGACACGGTGCTCCTCACGTTTCCCGAAAATATCTCAAGCCTCTGACCTTCAGCCCAGCAGTTCCACTCGCGCCACGTTCCGAGCACCTACAAACACAGTCCTTCCCTGCCGCGAACTTGCCGCCGGAAGTGACGGACCCACAGCGTCGCTCCTCCCATCGGGGCGGGGAAGGAAGATGGCGGCGCCCTGCAGCCGGTGAGGAGAGAGGACACGGGATCCCGAGGAGCGGCCAGACACCGATGTTATGGCCGCATCTCCGCACTGTCTCTCCTCACGCCTCCTGACAGGTACGGCACTCGCTGTCGGGCACGACCCTGGGAAAATTCTCTTCTTTTGCCACGTGCCACACCGTGGTTCCGGCTGGCCTCAACCTTGGGAGCCCTTGGGGAGGTCGGCTGGGCACTGGTGGCGGGAGGTGACCTGTGGAGTAGCCTGAAGTGATGAAGGCACGGACGTAGGGTCTAGTCTTGCACTGTGGCTCTGGCGGTCCGTCCCGCTCCCCTCGAGGAGTGGTGTCTGGTGTTTCGGTTTTCATAGAGTGGAGGCTGGAGGAGAGAGAACAGGGTAGAACCTTAGGGCTCCACGAGCCTTTGGGCTTATCAGAGCCTCAGTCTGTAATTATTTATTAACATACCGGTTTATCATGTGTTTCTCCCAGCTAGAAACTAAGCCTTATGAAATCAGTGACAGTTTTTCTCTGGTTCACCTCTGTGTCCCCAGTGCACGGAACAGCACCTGGTGTACATTGTTGACTCTCAGTGATGATTTGTGAATGAATGAAATGTGTCCTGATGGAGATATTAAAGAGGAGGCTGGAAATAATTTTACCCCCAGTAGTTTAGGATGATAACTAATGGCTGTGTGAGGAATGTACTGCCGCTGGTCCATATTGGAAATGGATAGGAGAAGCCAGGGACTGTGACTCCTTTTTGGTCAAATCCCAGAAACTTTTCTCAGGCCCCATGTATCACAAGCTCTCTGCAGCATCTGTCAATATCGATCCCTGTGACTCTGAAATTCCTTTCCTCATTTTTCTCATGGCATTGTTATTTTATGGGTCTTTTCTGGTCTGTGATCTCAGGGCAAATCTTTTGACTTTTCAGAATTGAGTTTACTCATTTATAAAATAAGGCAATTGAAGTAGATGATTTCTAAGGTCCCTTCTGTTTCAAAGAGTGGGGAAGAGGGTGGGGAATGGGAATAAAGGTGAAACAAGATTGGCTATTGTTGAAGCTGAGAGAAAAGTAATGGGGTTCATTGTATTCTTCTGCTTTTGTATATGACTGAAATTTTCCATAATGATAAGTTTTTTTTTAAAGGTCTGTGATTCTTTCTGAATTACTTCTTTGTTATCTTCTATCATCCCTGACTGACTATGCTTTCGTCCTGACCCTAGGTACCCATTCTCACAGGGCTCAACCTTTCTGAGTGCTTGAATTAACACCTCTGTAGAAGGTTTTTCCAATGTGTGTTCCTCAGACTAGCTGCTTTTCTGCCTTTTGCTTCTGTACTTTCAGCTTTCTATAGAACAATTCCACTTGGCTGCTCAGAATTCCCCAGTTCCAGTAAGTGGGCTGCATATGGTCCCCATGATTTGTTGCCAGATCAGTCTTTTCAGTGCCGGTAAGAAGGAATTAATAGTTTAGCTTTTCATAGCGGTGAACATAATCGCCAAAAAATCTGCTAGTAAGTGGTCTGTATTACTTACTCTGATCCACTTGGAAGGTCCACTACAAGAGCTTGATGTGGAAGCAGCATGGTTGGAAGGGTGGCAAAGAGGTAATCTGGGACTATGTTAGCTATCTAGTGGTCATGTCTAAAATTGCTTCTAAACATTCAAAGTATTTTATAGCCTTTCAAAAAAAATTCAGGACCTTTCAGTTATTTGTCTGCTCACTTCATTTTAAAAGCCCTACTACAATCACAACTCATTGATGATGAATAGTGGATATGGTCACATGTTTCCAGATTTTTAATGTATCTGTCGTAAACCCTCTGTATCTTCAAACCTAAATTTGTTTACATAGGGCTTAAATGTCTTTGAATTTCTAGGCACCGATTCATAGAAATGTGACATGTTTTGACCAAATGAAGTGTTTTATCATTTAAAAGTACGATTTCCTAGCCCTTTTTTTCTTACTACCATTCTGTAAAATCTCAGTTTGATCCACTTAGTCATGACAGTTTTTTTTTAAGGTGGCTTTTTTCCCTCCCAGCAACATGTATTTCTCACTGAACCTGAAGAACTTCAAACTGGTTTTGAAATTAAGGCCCAGAACAGCAAAACCTTGATGTCTTCTAGCATAGTCGTTTAACATTGGAATCCTGTTTCTTATTTATTTATTTTTTTTAAGTTTTTTTTTTT